TTTCTGGATTAATGAAAACACAAAACATTTTCAATTAGCTTTACAGGAACAACTACTGCATGCATCCTGGGGCTCAGTCTCAGTAATATGTTCCAGTACCTAGAATATAAAGAGAGACAATATGTCTTAGTTAGGATTACTATTGCTGTGATGAAAAAACATGACCCAAAGCAACTTGGGGAAGAAAGGGTCTTTCACAATTTTATTTAACAGTGCATCATCAAGAGCAGTGAGGGCAGGAACTCAAGTAGTGCAGAGACATGGAGCAGGAGCTGATGCAGAGACCATGGAGGAGGGATGCTGCCTACTGGTTTGCTCTCCATGGTTTGCTCGGCCTGCTTTCTTACAGAATCAGGACCACCAGGCTACCTCCTCCACCACTCACTAATTCCAAAAGCTGGATCTTAGGGAGGCATTTTCTCAATTGAGACTCCCTCTTCCCAGATGATCCTAGCTTGTGCCAAGTTGACATAAAACTAGCCAGCAGGGTATGATATAGTTTGCACGACTCAGTATGTGGTACAAAGGATGTACATGTTCCAAACATTCTTCATTTCCCCCCACAAGGAAAATCCAGACAGCTGGAGGCTCTCTCTCCCTTTTTCCCAGATGTTCACTTTTAATCAGCTGCATGGTGTTTGTACAGCCCTGGGTAGGATGAAGTCAAAAGTCATAATTTACTGATGGCTTCAGGTGGCAGGTGATTAATGTGTACTCACTAAGTGAATTCATGCAACAACCCTAGCTGGGTGTGATTATTCTCACCTCACCCTGAGCAATCAATAGCATATTGGGGAGGTGGGCTGCAAAAGGGTGATTAGATAGTGGTGTCAGATTACATCACTGCCTCACAGACACTAGGGTGGAGATATATCTACATATAGAACTCTAGAAGCCCTGAGACCTGAATGGCTCTCAGTCTCCATAGAACCTTAACACTCTAATTAATGATTATGAGATTACCTACTTCTTCCATTAATCATTGCATAAATCATATATATTTCTTTGTAACATATTAACTGTATTTCAGAGTTAATCAAAAATGCTTTCTCATTTTGTTTTAAAATTTTGTTCAGAGTTTAATAATTTTATGATATTTTCCTAATCATTTCCTAATATATATATTTCTGGAGGTACATTTCTTCCCTCTAAAAAGGACATGAGCACCTAAGTATTGTTTTTACTTTTAAAAGATCAGTGTTAGTCTCTGGTAGCCAGTGAATGATGGCAGCCTGGGAGGAAAGTTTGCAGTACAATAGAGCTAGACAGTGACTGATCTACATGACTGTGCAAAGCTATCTCCATCATGAAAACCTAGCAGGAAGA